ATCTAAAGAGAAGAAGCCAACTGTGGAAACTTTTCTTGCTTTTCCATGAGTCCCTTGTTCCCAAAGTGCCAAAAGTCTTTCTGCCAACCCAAGTCCTGTGGTTTCCTTTTTTGGTTCCTTTGTATGGAGTTCGCTTTTATGTCTCCAAGGAGGAGGAGGTGGTTGTGGTGGTGATAGTAGTCATACAATCATTAAGGGTGCTTTTTTTGTGGTTTCCTTGAAAAGGTATCTTTTTTTTTCGTTTCAGTCATTCATCGTGAATTGTGCGTGCGTGCATGCGTGTATGAACATGAGCAGCAGCACCGGCTTAGGATCCGGTATAATACCGCCACGACCAATCCCCAAACTAGGGCAGATCAGTCGGCAGCGACTCGGTAGGAGTAGGGGCGGTGGGAGAGGCTCCCGTCATGGGGGTATCGGGGACGGGAACTGGGGAGGCTGAAGCCACGGGGACGGTCGAAGGGTGAGGCGGGGCATGAGGGTGAGGAGGCGGAGGTGTGCTGTGGCCGGAGCTGGAGGCCGTGACGGCGTGGTGGTGTCCATGGTCGCCCTCCTTGGGGGGAAGCAGGACATGGCTGCAAAAGTGCAGTTCGAGGGAGCGTGAGGTCTCTGGGCTGAAGGCGCAGGTTTCGAGCTTGCGGACAACATCGTCGTCTGGAGGGGGATGTTAGCAAGAGCATTATCTTCTCTGAGGCCGTACCAACTTACACTCAAGGTTCAGGGCCTGGAAGAACTCGGCCATGATGTCAAAGTCCGATTCGCCGAGGTCGACGACGCTGAGCCGGCCATCAAGTGTCCGGAACGTCTTGGGGTGAGACTTTCGAAGCGTGAGGAGCATCTTCAAGAGGTCGGCAATGTCCCGGCCCTGGTTGACGTACATGGTGGGAGGGCGGTCGAGGGGCCAGCGCTGGCGGAAGTCGTCCATCTCCCACACCTTGAAGGTCCAGGTGGTCTTTTCCAGGCAATGGAGGAGGATGAGGATGGAGAGGTACACGTCAAAGTTGATCTTGGCCTTGCCGTTTTCCAGGCAGCGCTGGAGCTCGCTGATGAGCTTGTTCGAAACGTTATTGGCCTTACGCTCCGTGGCGGCGGACAGCTGGAAGGTGATGAGGTTGTAAATGTCCTGGTCGTCGGTGCCGGCAAACTCCTCGGGGCCAATGGGCACGACGACGCCCTGGCGCTCTTCGGATATGCACCAGCCTCGCTCTCGGTCGAGAATTTCAATGAGACCCCAGAGCTCAATGGCGAGCTTCAAGTTCTTACCCGTCACCTTGTTGTCGGGAAACTTTTGCGCGGCCGCCAAGACGACTTGCATGAAGTGGGAGGGCTCGCGCTCGATAAGCGTCGGCAGAATCAACTTCAAGAACTCCTCCATACGGGCGGGGAGGTCCTCCTTGTCTTGATCAATCATGACGACCCGAAAGTCCGTCTTTGTGTCTGGGCTCGCCGTTTGCTCTTCCGTCTCACCCTCGGCTACAGGAGGCTGCGGGCGGGGGGTAAGCAGAGCGGCGAGCGTCAGACTCGGGCTATCCTCCCACAAAGAGACGACGAGGGAGGTGCCATTAGAGAGTAGCTGGTATTTCTGTCTGGCGTGCTTGACCCTAGTCTGCGCCAGGACTACTATCAAGGCGGCCGAGTAGAGGGTAAGCTCTTGGTTCAGACGAGTGCGAACGCAGGGATAGGTCCAGTGACGCGGGCCTTGGATCTTTCGGCATTGGTCGCAGGGATCATTGGTGCCACAGGTCTTGCGGAGAATCCGACATCTTATGCAAGCGCCCTTCTTACGAGCAGCCTGAACCTCCTTACGCCGGAGCGGGTTGTAGGCCTTGCGCTTGTGCTCGCTCTGCGTTCCGTTGCCGATTGGCATACGAGTGCCGCCTCTGTTGGGAGGAGGCAACGTCGGGGCCACGTGAGTTGCTACTGTTGGGATGTGGTTCGTAGTCATGTAAGTCATCTCACCCCAGGGTTGTTGAGGTTGTTGCTCCGGTTGCTGAGGCTGCTGGAGTTGCTGAGGCATAGCTTGTACCGGAAGGGTTTCGATAGGGACGGTGGCGTCTGCCTTGAGTGTCTCATTTGATCCCATCACAGGGCTGGCGACTTGAAGCGGTTCGCTGTGCTCGGCAGAAGGCAATTCAGGATCCATGAGGGAATGAGTAAGACGGGCAGTGGCCGCGGCGGCAACAGTGAGATCTGACGAATCCAGAGGCGGGTCGTTTGGATGCTGAGTGGCAGCCTGCAAGTGTTCCATCTTTTCTTCAGTAGTGAGGAAGCTGAGAGGGTTGGTGCTGTCATTTGAGGTGGATTCTGTGAAAGTCAGCTCATCTGAGTTCGCGATCTGAGTTTGAGTCGAAATAGTGAGAGGTGAGATGAAGCAACGCTCCTTCCTCGTGAACAAAGAAGATGAAAGTCAAGAAAGACATGACATACCCTTCTGCTCACGACCAGGTCGATTTTCGTAACTGCAGGGCGGATTCTCGAGGGTGAACTGCTCTTGAACTTCAAAGCCGATTCCGAGTTGTCGAACAGCAGACTCGGATCGGTCGCGACCAAGTGCTGAAGGGGCCCCCATCTCGTTCTCTCCAACTTGTCGCGATGCTTCTGCGAGAGTTCGGAGGGCGGACCAGTTCTCAGGTGCTTCGGGGGCAACCTCGGCGACGGCGACGTCGAGCTGGTTGAGTGGGAGATTCATTGATCGCGGGGCTGATGAGCCGGAGTGAAGTCCGGCGAAACCGAGTGCGGCGTTGATGCGTTCTTCAGGCGTGATGGCCGGGCACTTTTCCGTAATGTGCTTGTGTAGGACCTCGCCTCGACCCTTTGGGAAGTTTTCACCACACAGCTTGCAGGTGTGAGGGTATCGGTTGCTGGAATCAGGAAGTTTGGGGCCCCGGGTGAAATACTCCCCCACCACGGGGTTTGGTTTTCGACCCATGGTGTATTATTTGGCGCGTATTACAGGTTGAATAATCCGAGGGAGTTGCCGTTTTTGGCGCAAACTTGATTTGTTGACCTCTTACAGCTCGATACTCGAGATTCAGTACACCGCAGAGTGGTGGTGACCGCCCACGAAATTCTGCCCTCGAGGTCGATATGTAGGAATTGGCAACGGACCAGCGATCTGAGATGCCGAGGTAATTGACTGTTCGATACAGAGCAGGTCAGAGACGCCACTGGTCAAGAAATGCCTCGCCAGGCTTTTACCAGCGGGCAACAATGAACGATAACGTGGGCTGGGCCTGCGCGATGCGATGCGATTCACAGATTCTGCCACGGCTCACCGACGTTGGAAGCGACAAAATTCTCACACCGCTTCCCATGTCGGATAAATTTCGTGGTGGGGCCGAGCAGATCTTTCTGGTCACGTGAGAACCCCACCACAAAGTCTGTCACCGCTATGTACCCAAGTACCCAAGTACCTTGGAGTGCATATGAACCATGAGAGCTTCTTTCAAGTTTGTTCATTCATATACGCTAGACTCTGCCAGGGCACTCGAAGGATGGACAATTCATTTCAATCATTTTTAGATGTTGAAGAAGAAGAAGAAGAGCTGTGAGAGAAGGCATGAGTGTGTGACTGGAGTTCAAGTTCTGTCGCAGCGTTGAGCTTGATCTTAAACTACATACACACCGTTCAAGATGGCCAAGCTTGTTTTGAGACTGGCACCTTTGAAAGAGCTCTTTAGACCTGTCATCTCAGAAAAGATGATATGAGCGATGATAGAGACTCACATTAGATAAGAAACAAATTCGGCTATCCGAATGACGCACACCTTGAAGTTCAAAGGATGCAAGCCCATGCACTGTTCAGATCTAGCAGATGTACACGTGCATTGGAAAAGTCATCTCATAGTCCCTCAGCTATCGTCGAATCACCTCCTGCATCGTACAGCAACGGCAGCCTGGCAACTTGGAAACGCAGTGTCGAAGGGAGACGCAAGGAAACATAGTCAAAAAATACGATTCCCGACAACAGAGCATCAGTACATATTCATCTCGTCCAGACGCGAGGTGGTCAAGAGGCAGTGGCTCGTGTTCAGTTGTTCCTGAAAAAGGTGGGGGGAGGGGCAGTCCCGTCGGGGGGTGTCTCGGGGGGCCGCGAATGAGTGGGTCGCTCCGGGCACGGGGCCGAATCAAACGACACGGCGGGGGTGACCTCGGCCGCCGTCTCAGAAAACAAGAACCCGCCGCATGCGCTAGCGCCTGGCTGACATGATCTCTGTTGGAGCTGTTCTCCTTTTCCCCAATGAAGTTGAGTCTCGGCATTTTGGGGGCCCCTGATCTTCGTAGCCAAACTCAATTCCACAAGGTGCCTGTCAACCTGTTGGGTCACAACACGCTTTGAGCATCTTATTCTTACACTTTGGGGGCAGAAAGTCTACTTTCCGCAACCCTACTTCAAGTTCCAACAAGAGCGACGTTTCCCACGCTGCTATGCATGATACCCCGGACAAAGGGAAACTAGAACCACTTTACCACATGTTGGGGGTCGCATCCGTCTTTTCCGCCCCCCTCGGCCGGGCGCCTATGTACAGTCCTAGCTAGACCAGGGGGTGAGCTACGCGACGGCTGAGCGTGATGTGGGTTACGATGCCACGCTCCCCCTTGTGACGAACCAGTCAAAACACCAAGACCTTTGCGCCGCTATCATGGCATTTCCGTGCCGAACCGCATCCAAGCTTTTGGATTGTTTGCCCGTAGTCACCTATCTCCTTTGTGTGTCTTAAATATTAATGCCCACGCTCTCATCTATCTGTCTTCTCTCACACACTCTCTTTTGACCTCACATCTTTACGGGGACGTCACCCTCCATCTACCGTCACATCAACGGCTCTGGTCCAGTCATAGTCTCTCATTTTGGCACGTTGCATGTCCCTCGTTACCCCCCTCTCCCTCTCACGATCCTTACAGCAACGGGATCTTAGCCCCGTGGAAGCTCCTGCAACGCCGTTTCGTGCCCTCTTCATGAGAGTTGAATCCCTTCGTTTGGATGAGATCACCCTCACCCTCGTTCATTTGCCTTTTCATCTTGCATCATCAGATTGAGTGGTCATCGGGAAGTAGGTCCAGAGGATCAACTTTGCTCACTGTGTTGATAACAACAGTATAAAGACGCTGCTTCATCTCGTGTCTTGTATGAGTTTTGTATGAATTGGATTACTCATCCATAAGAGACCATAATCAAAATGCGTCGAGCTGCTCTATTCCAAATCACATCTGCCGTGGTAGCAGCGCAGTCCGCCGATCTCGCCAGCCATGTCCTAACAGACGTGAGTTTCCCAGACTCAAACAAAGTGCCTCCGTAGTACCACAAGGACTGACACACACCCAGACCGGCTCCGTGGGAGGCGGCAACACCTTTCCGGGCGTCTCCCGCCCGCTGGGCATGGTCAAGCTCGGCCCGGACCTCGAAAACGGCGTCGACGCCTACTCGGGCTACCTCCCCGCCGGTAACTTCACCGGCTTCTCCATGCTCCACGAGTCCGGCACCGGCGGGGCGCCCAAGTACGGCGTCGTCAACCAGATGCCCGTCGTCGGCGTCCTCGACAACCCACTCCGGGTCAACCAGAGCACGGATACCCGGGCCCGGCCGGATGAGACGGAGCTCGGGTATTACAGGGCGTTTCTCGGGTCCGGGGTCGTGGTGGAGTTGGGCGCTTCGGAGAGGGCTGGGATGTATGCGTACACCTTTCCTGGGAACAATGGCAGCGGCAACAACATCATTGTGGACGTCTCACACGTTCTGCCGTCGTACAGAGGGCAAGGTCTTGGGCAAAACTACCTCGGCGGAGGAATCGAGGTGTTTGATACTAGCGATGGGTTTCACTACGAGGGATACGGGTACTACGATAATGTAAGTCCATCGCCTTCATGTTCTTGAGCCACGACTGAGACCTCGGACCAGGGCTGGAATCGCGCCGCCGAGTGGAAAGTCTTCTTCTGCGGCTACTTTGACCAGCATCCCTTCTCCTTCAAGACCTTCCTCGGCACCGACCTCACATCAGACGTCCTCTCCGCATACGGCAACGAAACCACCTCGTACGAATCCCGCACACAGCGCCTAGGTGCCGTCTTCACCTTCGCGGACGCGGCCGTCACCTCCCGCGTCGGCGTCTCCTTTATCTCGACCGCCCAAGCATGCCGCAACGTCGACGCCGAGATCCCCGCGGGGACAAGCCTCTCGACCGTCAGGACGGCAACCAGCGAGGCGTGGACGACAAAAGTCCTCTCCAAGGTGACGACGACAGAGACCAACACGACCAAGCTGGACCAGCTGTACACGGCCTTGTACTTTATGAACCTCCTCCCCACCAACAAGACGGGCGAGAACCCGCTCTGGGGGTCGTCCGAGCCGTACTACGATGACATCTTCACCTTCTGGGATACCGTATGTCTCTCCCTACGCTTCTTCCCTCGTGATCCAACGTCTAACATACAAAGTTTCGCTGCACCACATCCCTCCTCCAAATCCTCCAACCCCAAGCCCACGAAGAATTCATCCGCTCCACGATCGACATCTGGCGCTTCACAGGCTACGCCTCGGACGCCCGCTCCTCCTTCTTCAACGGCGCCGTCCAAGGCGGCTCCAACGCAGACAACGTCCTCGCAGACGCCTACGTAAAGGGCGTCCGCGGCGCCGTCGACTGGACGGACGGCCTCGCCGCCATGCTCACAAACGGCGAGACCCCCCCGCCACCCAACAACGACCCGCGCGACCCCTCCTCCTCCACAAAGGAAGGCCGCGGCGCCCTGCCCGACTGGCTCGACCTCGGTTTCATCTCCCCCACCTACGCCCGCGCCGTCACGCGCGCGGTAGAGTACGCCGTCAACGACTTTGCCATCTCCCAAGTCGCGCGGGGCCTGGGCCAGAACGACACGGCGGACACCTACCTACAGCGCTCCCGCAACTGGCGCAACCACTGGAACGAAAACATGACGGCCCACGGCTTCAACGGTTTCCTCGGCCCCCGCAACGCAGACGGCTCGTTCCCGCTCCCGGCACAAAACCCCCTCGACTGCGGCGGCTGCTACTGGGCCGAGGCGTACTACCAAGCCACGCCGTGGGAATACACCTTCAACGCGCACCACGACGTCGCCCACTTAGTCGACCTCGCCGGCGGACCCGAGCTCTACGCCGCGCGCCTCGAAAAGACGTTCGAACCGGGCGGGTACGCAGGCAACGCCGCGTTCGGCAACACAATCTTCAACCCGGGCAACGAGCCCTCCTTCGGCACGCCGTACCTCTTCAACTTTGTCAACAAGCAGCACCTCGCCGTCCGCCACGCCCGCTTCGTCGCGAAATCGTACTACAAGCCCACGCCGGACGGGTTACCGGGGAACTCGGACGCGGGAGCAATGGAGTCCTGGCTGCTCTGGAACATGATTGGTCTCTACCCCCTAACGGGCCAGACGACGTTCCTCATCGGGTCCCCTTGGTTTTCCGATTTGACTATCGCCCTTGGTGGCGGCCGCGAGCTGAAGATTACTTCGACGGGCGGGTCCGAGGACGTGTACTACGTCCAGAGCCTGCGCGTCAACGGACAGGCGTGGGATAAGACGTGGGTGACGTGGGATGACATCTTTGCCGGGGGCGGGACGCTGGAATTTGAGCTGGGGCCGGAGCCGGTGGAGTGGGCCACGGGAGAGCTGCCGCCGAGCCCGGCGAGCGTCGTCAGTGGTCAGAAGGAGGAGGTTGCGGCGCTGAGACAGCAGCGGCAACGGCGGTGGCGGCAGGAGGAGCGGGACGACCAAGAGGTGGTTGGATGAGTTGATCTGCGGTTGCGATACAGACAGACATGCTTGCCTGTATCATGACATTCATTCGGAGCAAAAGCAAAAGCTCAGCCCCCGATAGGGGGCCTACGAAAGATCCAAAGAGGCCCATACCGACCTCTGCCGTCATGTGAATGAAGCTTGGATTTTTACAAGAAACGGGACTCGAACCCGTGACCCATGGGAGCGGGGCCATTCAGAACGAGCTGACATTCCCCGCCACGCCATGGGCCTTGGTGACAGTATCACACAAATTTGTTTCCTATAGAGGTACGGAGAGTGGGTGGAGGCGGAATAAACCAGGGACGAAGAGAATCTAATGTATATTCATGAAAGGGAAACACCAGCACTGTACCCAGATGTGTTGATACGTGGCAACCCCAATATCAGCCTTTGTGATGAACAATGTACTCGTATTCCTCGCAAACTCCTCGCTATGCCAATATTGCTGAAACATAGAACACGAGTGTAAGGGTATCGAACTTATAAAATGCAAAGCTACCTCGTTCCGGCAGACTCTCTCAACGGGACTCGCCACCGCCCCAAACATTCTTGTTGATCTCCTCGTCATCCCCGACGCCAAAGTTCTTATTGAAATCATCCTCTTGCTCGCTCTCTGCCCACGGCGATGCTGTTGCTTCTTGCAAAAGAGGAGACGCTTCCGGCTCGCTGTACGACTTGGAAGCACTCGCTTCCGGTTCAGCCTGTTCCTCGGCTGCAGTCGGCTGAGGTGAAGGGCTTTGAGGCTTGGATGACGGCCCAGAAGCGGTACGATCGGGGGATGTTTCAGCCGCAGCGACTTGCTTCTGTTTTTGCTTCTTCTTCTTCTTGATCGTGACCACGGCTGGCTCGCTAGGCCGAGGAGACACACGCAGATGCTCAACCGTCGACCGTGGCTCAGACGCAAATCCTAGGCTTCCCTGAGAGGACATGTACCGTTGGCTCAGGGGCACATTTGCAGTGATGACGGGGTACTGCACTTCATTAGCAACATTGATCGTCATCATGACATTCGGCACTCACATTCCAATCGCCAAACTCCAACTCGCGCGCCTTGCCGTAGAGACGCTCATCGTCGTTGTCAATCTCGGGCTCGCCGGTGAGGCCTTCATTGAAGGTGCCGTTGGCAGAGTTGTACTCTTCACTCGGGCCACCTGCAGTTCCTTGGAGCAAGGGGTCGCGCTCGTTCAAGTTGCGATTCGTCTGGCGATCAACCTGGCCAGGTGTCGGGATCCAGTACTTTGCCTTGCCACCTCTTGTGTACCGCATGCCCTCGTCGAGTCTTCCCAACCTGGCGCGAGACTCTTCGTGCGCCATGATCTTGTCGCCCGAGTCGAAGAAGCGGTAGCCATACTTGTCGCCCTTGAATGTTTCCTTTGAGTCTTCAATGAGATCCTTGACACCAAACGCATCGCGCAACGCAAACTTGACGGGCATCCGTGCCGAGGAAACCCTATTATCCGCGAAATCGTGCCACGAAAAGGCGTACCAATGAGCAATGGCGAACGCCGGCATCTCGATACAAATCAGGGCGTCCTGGATGGCGGCGGCCAAGTTGTCGGGGCTGTACCCCTCGACATTGTCCGGGATGGCTCCGAGCCAGACGAGGATAGACAGGAAGAACCCCTGCCAGTACGAGGCAAAGATGATGAGCTTGACGCACAAGAACTTGGGTACCGGACGGAAGGGCAGCAGATCATCATGCATGCAGACCCAGAACAGGCCGAGTGAGTACAGACTGATGGTGACGCTGAGGTTGTAGATGATGCCGCTCCAAAGGTAGCCCGACTCCACGCCAATGTAGCCCTCCTGGTAGGTATCTGTCGCCTTCATGATGACGGTGGCTAAAGCCAGGATGGGCTTCAACCACGCGTACTGCAGAATGCCGCGCTTGATGGCGAGGAACGTATGAGGATCGGAAATGTCGACGCGGGGCAGCACATGATGCATAGGCCATAGGTGAGAGACTGGCTCCCGGCCGTGGGTCATGATGATCAGAGCGCGTTCTCCGCTGAGATAGTTGATAAGGAGCTGGAAGAAGGTGTAGATGGTGAACGCCTGGCTTTGTTAGCACTTGTGGGACATAAAGTGCCACCAAGCTATATTCACCTCGTAAATGTCTCGGACGGGGTCGAGGAAAGACGAAGCCTTGATAGAGACCATGCTTGTCCAAGACGATATCGAGTATATGGGGACCCTTGGTAGGTTAGACTCTGGTGCTTATCGTGTTTTCGAGGGACAGCCAACGTACATGAGCAAGATTCGGACGACATATCGCTGAAGGAGTGGTTTGCGGTAGTTTTTCCTGCATGGCGTCAGCTTTCGTTGGAGGGGAAGCGCGGGCGGGATAGGTAGCGTACGACTGGAGGAAGATGGATCTGCGAGAGGATGGTTAGCCTTAGTTACGCGAGCCAGGGCAGCACGACAAGGACTTACATGGCTGATAGGAAGGTGGCTATCAGGGCGGCGACACCTGCGACGATGATGGTGGCCGTGGTCAGCTTCTCGCCTGTGCCGCCCGCCATGTTGACCTCGAGGCGGGACATGGCGAAGGGTGGTGTTTGTTGTGTTTGAGGAATGTCGTCTACCTCATGGCTGTCGGAGGACGGAGGTCAGGAGAGGCAGAGGGCGGAACAGCAAGCTTCAAGCTCGAGTATGGACGTCGCAAGGCGGGGAGGCGAAGAAGATGTTTGTCAAAGAGACTTGGAGAGAGAAAGAAAGAGAAGATGACGATGGCCGTGTTGCGAGGTTTAGGTTGTAACGAGCAGCTCGTGACAGGTGCGTAATTCGGTACGTATGCGCGGCTCAAGGCCCAAGGTGGAAAGGTCAAGCTGCAGACGCCGTACTTTAGCCTGGGTACGTCCCTATCTTAGGTACGTAGGCACGTACTCTGGTACTGTACCTAGGTTTTGCGGTACGTAGTGGACGGAAGTGACAGCTGCGCATCATTCGCGTGTGGCCAATGACCTCGCATTAATTGTTAGGGAGGTCCCATACCGGCAGCTCCCCTGAAGCTTTGGTTTCACAGCGTGCTTGAGCGTGTGGGGTAGCAGCGAGCACCACCTCACAGTGACCTTCCACTGACCCGCCCATGTGCCCACCGCCCATACCGGGATTGACCTCCACTGCTGGGCTGCTGGGGGGTGCGGAAGCTACGACCACAGCTTCCGTCAGTGGGCCACCTCCTGGGGCGCGCGGGTTGTCATTAGCGCGAGACACCCGGGCCCCGTCGTTGGGAACGCTCGGCGCGACTTGGAAATGCGACTGGGCTGCTAGAAAGTTACTGGCCTGTGATCCCACACCAATTCAACCTCAACCGCATCGCACACATTGCGCATGCTTTAATGTTGCGCTGTCTCACCGACTCCTCACTCGTCCGACTATCCGGTTCTACTCTGTACAAACGATACTCCCGTTACCCCTAACAACATCTACCGCGTCTACAAGCAACCGTCACCCTACGAACCTACCATCACAACACCAAGCGAGCGACGACAGCGAAACCGCGACATGGCAGTGGGTGGACAAGGACAGCTCCGACGTTGATGCTAGCTGAGGCATCGTTGACTCGCCGCCGTCAGGATGCCGCAAGAAGGGGAGCCGAACCCCACGCCGACCGAGACCCCGGCCTTTCGATGGGAGTTTCTCGTATACTTGATCATATGCGGTGCTCTCGCCGTCTTCTTCCTCCTCTACTTCAACAGAGCTTTCGGATCGCTCCTCTCGTGGGGCATACGAACCTACACATGGCATCGCTACCGACTCTACATAGACATACAGGCCCTCCAGGTCTCGCTTCTTGGTGGACGTATATTCTTCACCGGTCTACGATATCACGGCAACAACGAGACGTTCCTGATTCAGCATGGCTATGTTACATGGCGATATTGGCTACGGCGAGTGCGCGAGGTGGACATAAAAGCTTCGGCACAACAGCAAGCTGAGCAGGCTTCTGCCGGGACAAACGGACGACACTCGAATCTGCCCTGCCGAGTCACAATGTCCCTGGTTGGCTTGGAATGGTTTATCTACAACCGGAGCCCTGCCTATGACAGCGTGCTGGCCGGCCTCAAGGAGCCCACAGCGACTGCCGAGAACGTGTCGACCGCTTTCGAGTCCAAAGACGAAAACGCTTCGCTGAGAAACCGAGGACAGAGGACGGCTGAAAAGCCCGAGCCGTCGCCAGATTCCACGGAACACGAAAAGGAGACATCCGGCGCAGCTCTGCTCTCGAGAATTGGCAACACCTTTGGACGCCGTGGATCTTCGGCTAGTCAGACTAGTACCCCCTCCGATGGCCCGGCTGGCAGCAGCGACGATGTCCAGGCGGACTCGGATTTGCCATTCCTCCTGCAGCTCTTCCCCATCTTTGTGACGTGCCAAAAGGCAGCTGTAGTCATGGGAAACGACAACACCAAGGCCATTCTGATTGTCAAGGCCGATGGGCTCTCTGGTGAAATCGATGCCTCAAAGACGTCCACTCCGGACCCGTATAGGCAGAACTTCAAGATCAAGTTCCAGCACCCAATCGTAGAGATGCGGGAGAACGACGACTTCAAGGAGGACCAGGCGACGAGGGCCAGCCGCGAAAAACAGGCAGCCCAGGAGCCTAGTCCTACGTACAAGACTTCGTTCTTCCGGCGGCAGAGACGCCGCACGCTGGGGACACTGCGCAACCTGGTGCCGTACTGGCGGAAATCCGTCGAATCCTTTTCTCTGGGCTCGCGCAGTCCGCTGACCACCGCGGTGTCCCAAATACCCGGCTCCAACCAGTGGCAAGGTCTAGCCCGCTACTTGGACGAAGACGAGCAGGATTCGAGGTTGCGGTGGGCAGGCGTCGAGTACGCTGCCGAGTCCACCGTGGTAGATAGCCCCGAAGCGACGCTGACCATTTACTGGGATGTTGTAGGCAAGGTGACGGCCGAGGCGGCGAGCAGACGTTCAAAGGATAATGCTGCAACGTACATCAACGGCGACGAGGCTCCCGGATGGGGCATGAGCCTTGCCATCAACGGCGGTGTGGTCAACTACGGGCCTTGGGCAGACCGACACCGAGCGGATCTTCAGCGTGTCTTCGTTCCCAGCTTGTCAAAAGACGCCGTTCCCGCGACGCCTTTGGAAGAGGGCGCCTACCGCGTTCCCACGCAGTTCAAACTGTTTGTCGAACTGCTAGATGAGGTGACGCTGCATATCCCTATTCGAGAGGACTCGAAGAATTGGAAATGGAAGGGCAAAGAGCCGCCCATGAAAGCTCCGCCTCAGCCGATGAAGCGCAAGCAGAGAAACCGTGCCAAGAAGAACACAAAGACAGACGCGGCACCCACCCGTCCCGGAGGCTGGCTCGACTTCATCGTGCCTGGCAATTCCACAATATCCTTCACCATGGACATGCTTGCCAGTCAAACGGGGTACCAGATGAAGCTCGACGTCGACCTGCCCAGTACCGAGCTCGCGACCAGCGTGAACCACGAGCTTCTCTGGCGTTCAGGGCCTCAGCGTATATCCTGCGATTTGTCTACTCCTCTCAAGTGGAATACCCTCAGGACGTGGTACTTTAACATCGTCACAGAACAAATGGAACTCTTTATATTAAGGGACCACGTCTTCCTCATCATTGACCTGGTCGACGACTGGGCATCCGGGCCACCGGCCGAGTATCTTGTCTTCACGCCCTTTAGATATTACCTCAATCTCGAGCTCCGCGACGCAATGCTTTACCTAAACGCCAACGACGGCAACATCATTAACAACCCCACCGATCTGGAGGACAACGCCTACGTCATAGCCAAGAGCCCCTCCCTCATTGTAAACTCGTGCATCCCCATTGACAAGTTCCGGCCTAGCATGAACACCGTACCTTTTGTTCTGAGTGCCGAGACCTTCTCGCTATGGCTACATGTGCCTCCGTGGAATACGCAGGGCACGTTCCTCACATCAAAAGAGATCGGTCATGGCGAAAACTTTGAGGTTGACGGAAAATACCACTACAACGCCACCACATCGCCGGCCAACATTGATACCCTAGAAATCAACCTTAGTCTCCAGTCTCCCACGGCAACAATTTACGGATTCATCATACGATATGTCTTGGTTCTCAAGGACAATTACCTTGGCGACTACATCCACTTCAAGACGCTCGAAGAGTACCAAGATCTCTTGCGGCTCAAGGAAAGCAACCCGGATGCAGAGCTCGCAAATCGCCCACCTCCGAAAAAGTCCAACGACTTGGACGTAATCATGAGCGTAAAGATTGACGATCTGCGCCTGCTGTTGCCTGCCAACCTGTATTCCAGCCAGCGCAATGTTCAGGTCGAGACTGCCGGCCTTTCCTTGGACCTCCGCTTCACAAACTACTACATGGACCTGCAGGTCAACCTCAACCCCCTGAACCTGTCTCTCGGAAATGCAGAGTCAGGCTCAGAAACACCCATCAGCGCAGTGTCCAGTACCCAGCTGTTCATTGACGGTCTCACCATCTACGGCCACCGTCTATTCGGGCTTCCCCCGAGCGAGCCAACCTACATGTGTAATTGGGACATTTCTGTCGGCACCGTATCGGGAGAGTGCTCTGCCGACTTCTTGACGGCACTCATGGGCGTGGGTAAAGGATTCGCATTCGAATTCGACGATGACGAGAACGCCTTGATACCGCTCTCTTCCGTCATTGTGTACGACGTCACTTTCCTGAGGGTGGCTGTTGAGGCGGTCCGCGTCTGGTGCCACGTTGACGAAGCAGCATTCTTGTTCTCGACCGGTACCCTCGACATCAAGTTCAACGACTGGGCCCGTACGCACTACTCTAGGCGAGCCGACATCCGACTCCCGGATCTTCAGGTCTCGTGCGTGAATTCGGAATCGGCAATGAGACACAAATGGAAGTCTCAGCACGGCGTCGAAACAGACGCCTTCTTCCAAGCCAGTATCCGCGTGGCCATTATTGGAAGAAAGTTTCACTTCTCCGAAGAGCGCAAGCTGCAGCAGGAGCTCATCCGTCGCGAGGACCAACGAGCTGGGCGAACTGAATTTCTGCTTCTACCGGGCATCTTGGAGGAAACGCTCCCCGACCAGCTCGATCCCCCCGCCCAGGGCTTCCCGCCGGTCCCGCACCCGACGATGCTGGACGGCGTCGAGGGAGACCAGCGGTCTTTTGATAGTCGTTCGGCCTTTATTCGATCTCGTCCCCTCCGTCACAAGAGCTCATTTCTGTCCACGTCCACAGCCTCCAGCACTAGCAGTGTGGTGAGGCCCAGAAGCTCTGTGAGATCGCGAGCAAAGTCTAGGCAGTCAGACATGCTGCACCCGGACGGCTCTGAAGCAAAAAGGGGTGGGCAGCACCAGCGAGACGTTTCTACGTCGACCGGCCGACACTCGGCATTCTACAGCGCCATTGGAGACGTGAGAGATGCAAGCCACCACTCGTCGGTGGCCTTCTCGAGCCAATTTTACACCCCGCCGTTTCCCCTCGAGAGCGTTCGGCCTGATACGTCAGAGGCTGCCATGCAAAGCATCGAGGAAGACGAAGAAGCGTCCGCCTTTGGATTCTCTGAATTTGGTCTCGATGACATTGACCCCGAGTCTCTGACCGAGGATCGTGCTCATAACAGCATCATAGTGGAAATTCCGTCAGGCGTCACTGCATTCTTGAACCCCTCAGCTGTCAAGAATGTGTCGCTGCTGCTCGCGGCGCTACAGCCGAGCGATCCAGATGATATTCTGGACGCACTACAAATATCATCAATGACGGACATCTTTGATCTCCAAAAGA